CAAGTAATCCAAGGTCAGGGATGGCATTATAAATCACTTCAGAGAATGACTCTTGTTTAAAACCTCTCTAAGATAACAACTTACCTCTGGTTTCTGATCTTAAAGTTAAGCAAATGAGAAAAGAGTTCATTGCTTTTAAATATTTGTGAAATAAATGTAGAGGAACATCTGTACATTTATTTCATTGGTTATAAAAACATCTGTCAATGCCAAGTGCTCTGAAGTTCATGGATGCAATGCTAAGTAAGAGGTAGATATAAGCATTATTGCTTTCCCTTGAAGTAAAGTAGATACTAAGGCTCAAGCAAAGGAGGTGGTAGGTGGCTGCACAAACTGCTATAAAAACCTTTTATCTCCCTTCCCTAAGCAAAATCACTTGCCCAGCAGACTCATCCTAGCCAAATCCAGCCTGCTGACTGGCAGCAGGAGATCTCTGCTCTGTACAGGGAATTAGTCCTCCATTCAGCTCTTGTTCATAAAGCATTGTCACAAATTACCTTTCAGGCTGGACTTCAGGGCTGCCCCAGATTTCCCAAAGTGTAGTTACTCTTGGAAAATTCCAGCAAAGCTAAATATTAAACCAAATTGTCTAGGGGAAAAGAAGGGAGGGAAAACGTTCTAAGAAGCTCACCTGATAATTTAGTCTTTTGTGAAAAAATAAAAACAACTGTCAAGAATGAACCTTCTAAACTTTAGACACAGTCAGAAAATAAAAGACAGCTTTTCCTGCAAGGAAGGAGCCCTGGGAGTAATACATGGCCACTTTCAGCCACATGGAATAATGGAGCTTTGCCTCAAACTGTCAAGGAAAGGCCCTGGAGAAAGGAATATGTGTGAGGAACTTGCTTCAAACAAGCAGAAATATTTCTTTATTCTTTCATGGTAGTTTACTTTTCTCTGATGTTTTAATCCTACTTAGTGTAGAATTTGCAGCTCCACAGCCAAAGGTGTGGGGATGCAAACAGCTGGAATGAAACATGAGTATTTGCTTATGCCAGCCCAGCCCTTCAACTTCCATATCACTGCCCACTTCTTCAATCCCATTTACCCTGTTTCTGAAGGAGACAAAGCTGTTCAAGGTCTTTATGACCAGCAGGCCTGTACTCCAGTGTAGCCACTATTCCTCCCTGTTTGGTATCACCTGCAATTCCTCCTTCAATGGTGATGGTAAAGTAGAACTCAGACACAATTTTTCAGATGTCAGTCAGAAATAAAGACAGAGAAGGCATTATCCTTTCCATGAGTTGAAAAGAGACCTCTTTTGCAGGTCAGCCTGTAAATAGCTTGAAACATTCCTGTCTCTCCTGTGTCCTTGTGCCCTATCTTGAGAAGGCTCAGCTGCTGTTACACTGAGACATAGGGATGCTCACCCTCCCACTGAGGGCCATTATTGACTTGTTAGAGACAGGAAGCAATTTAAAAGCCTTTTCTCATTTACCTATTGACTTTCACATCACTCCTTTAAAGGATTATTGGATCTTGAGGTAGTGACTAATGATGTTATCACTATTCATTAATCCTGAAAAGCGTCTGCCATCCATGGAGTCTGGCAAAGAAGATGAAAAGAAGACACTGTAGGAAAAGTTTGTATAATGTCTTTAATAAAATTCCAAGAGGATAGCTATTATAAGCAATGCTTCTGGAGTGATAATAGATTTTGCTTTCTTACAAGTGGTGACAGGTTCTTGCTCAATGAACAGCAAGAGAAACAATTGGTATAAAAATGTTCAAGGGACAAACACAAGTTCAAGATCTTGTTTCTGCAATTATTTCTGCAACAGTCCTGGCCTGGTATCTAAAGTCACTGGCAAATTGGAAAAGTCTAATGAAGGCCATCAAGTTGGTCAGGGCTGGAGGACTTGTCCTGTGAGCAGAGCTGAAGGGAGCTGGGCTTGTTCAGCCTGGGTAAAGGACAGCTCCGGGAGGTCTCACAGCAGCCTGGCCCTGCCTACCTGCAGGGTTATCAAGGAGCTGAGATAGGCTCCTCACCACAATGCACAGTAGAGAATGAGAGGCAGGAGTCATAAATTGAAAGAGTAGATTCCACCTGGATGTAGGAAAATAAATTTCACTGAGGGCAGTCAGGAGACCAGACTGCCTGGAGAGCTTTGGCCTTGGAGAGTTCAAGACCCACATGGGCAAAGCTCTGAGCAGCCTGGCCTGATCTCACAGATGACCCTGCTTGCAGCAAGAAGTTGGACAGAGGGTACCTGAAGTCTATCCCAAAACTGTGATTCTGCTTCCCTTTTCACAGCAATTTTCCAGGACTTCTAAAGAATATTCACAGTCTAAACGTAAATGAGATGATCTTCACTGCTCTAACTCCATCTGACAATGAAACAAGCTGATTGGCCAGTCCACATTCATATATCCATGTGATAAGAACCTAGAGAACACCATAAAACCACCAGGGAGAAAAGCAAGTCATACTGCTTACTGTACAAGACTAAATCCTCTCACAAGCCCATCCTCTAGCAGAAAGATCAGCTTTTACATTAAGCGGTGGAACACTCTGGAAAATGAGTAATGGCTACAAGTGATTCCTGCAAATGGAACTAAAATCCCTCACAAGTCTGTCCGATCTCTGCTTCCAAAGTGCTCCCATTCATATTAATCTATTCTGAAGATCACATTGCTCCTTCACTGCAAGCGCCTCCATTCACACAGGCACTCATCCAGAATTATGCTGAGAACATATCGCAGCAGCACGGCATTTCAGAGCTACAAAACATGTGTTAACCAGACAGAAGAGACTTCTTTCCAAGAAGAGAACACATGCATGAAGTTCATACTGCCCTGCACATGGCAGAAAAATCTATGTTCTCCACAGGGCTACATCCCCAATCCTTTTGCAACCACATCTACAGGGTGAAAAGCTTCAGGCCATCAGAAAAATTGGTGCCTCCTCTGCCTACAGCAAGAGCATATCGCTGTCTGTAAGTACTGCAGGTTCTTAAGGAAAAGAGAATATTTATTTTAACACAAATATGGTTATGAAAGTTTTTTAAATAGCACAGTAATGAGCTTGAGCTGGCTATGTATATTACATTTTCATGTTCGTTATGAAAATTAATGTCAGCTTAAATACATGCACACATTTGAAATGTAGAGAACTTTTTGCAAATGGAAAGTATATTGAAAAGAAATTTAAAGATAAAATATTCTGTTATAAATCCACAGAAGAAGTCTTGTCTGAATTACTGATTCAAGTCAGAGGCAGAGAAGAACAGAAGCCAGTAGGATCATGGCAATAAGAAGTTTGACCTGGTTTTCCTTCAGAATTGGAAGGCCACCTAGACAAATTTTATACTAATATGGTGATCCAGTGTATTTTCAGAGGCAAAGTGGCTTGGACAAATAAAGGAATAGCTATCCATAGAGTAATGTACTATTAGGGGCATTCATGCAGGAAGAATCAAATCAATTGATACAGATTTCATAAGTGCTCAAAAAACCTAAATGTTCTTGGGATTCTCTAGCTGCTGTCTCTCTCACTCCTTTAGTTTGTGGACAAGCAGAAACAAAAATTCATTCCTATAAGCAAAAAGAAATTATTTTATCCAGGGTATTATGTTCAAACTACCATAGAAAAAACTAAAACCTAAATGGAAAAAGAACAGCAGAGATTCCATTTTTAGGACAGAATGATCTTTTCATGACTGAACAATTTAATATATATGACTTGCAATTTCTGTGCCTGGCTCTGTCATCTTTTTAAATGCCGTTAAACCTCAGTGTCAAAATACCTATTAAGAAAGAGGCTTTTATTGAGGAAAAGATAATAAAAATCAGGTACATTAATAAGCTTTATGAGAAGCCTCACTCCAGAAATAATGAAGCTCACAAAATGAATTTTGCCATTTACATTCACATGCTAAAGCAACTAAGCACATTAATACACCCAGATCTGACCAAGAGTGATTTACCAGCCATGGAACTCATCGGTCAGAACTTAATAAAATTTTGTATATACCCAACCTGTGATATTGTCTATAAATAGAACAACAGAGTTTCAAATTACATTTCTTCTTCCTTCAAAAATTGAATGTCTAGGAAACAGGAAACTGGATTTTGTGTTCCTTTAAGTCCTCACAAATCCCTAATGAAGCCCACACAGTCCATGTGTACAAAAGATAATTTTCAAATAAGGATTGGGGATGGGATTTTGTGCATGGTAGGAGTATACACTAAGCGGTAGAGCTGAAGTTATAGGTCATAAATAACCTCATGGATCTACAGTCACTCCAGAGCCTGCTAAAAATTGTTGCTCCTGAAACACCTGAGCTTCCCAATGCACCTCCTCAATGCCTGCAACTGAGATGTGAGCATCTGCACCAATATCATGGCAATATGAAAATGGTATTGTCTGTGTCAATGAGCATCCACTCATAGCCCTGGATATTGATTTCTGCTACCTTTTTGGAATATAATTTTATTTCAATTATTGGATTTTGGAAAAGAATTAAGGAGATAAGTAGCTGATGTTTGAAATAATCTTTTGAGATGAAAAACACAAACAACAAAAAGCCAGCCATAATATTAATATTTATTTTAAAGCAGTTTACTTGGTTACATACAAATACAATAAATACATTCTTAGAATTTTTATGTCTCATGTTCAATAAGTGATTTTCTTTTGCTATAAAGTGACTGATCTCTTGCTCAAATGAGAGACCATTTTGAATTTAATGAATTCTAAAATTAGCAAATTTAGGAAAAATAGAAACATTCTTGGAATATAATTTGCCACAAAATCAAAGCATTAAGGTAGCTGAAGCAGTGCATCTGTTCAAACAATAAACTCTCAAATAACCAATTGAACATTAAAATGGAAGCCAACAAAGCTAATTATTTTTGTGCTTCTTCTGCTAAACATTCTGCTAAATTCCATGAGATAAGTCAGCACATCAGCACCCCATTTTAAACCTAATTAAATTAATTAGGGGATTAATTCCCATTTATTAATGGGAATTAATAAAATAACATACAGAGAAATATTTTCACAATCTTAAGATAAAATTGCATCTTTGCATCAATTAGCACCATTTTCTTATGTTGTTCTAAGCAGTCTATCTTTTTTCCACACCAGTAACATTTCAGAAATACTATCTTTTTTGTTTATGAGTGAAATACTATTCAAGACTGGATGCTGAACTGGCTGAAGCATTAATTTATAAAACTTCTTATTTAGGGGTTTGTGCTGTAAGAGAGGCCTTTTATTACCACTCAGATAACTCTACTAGAAACTATTAAATTACACTTTTCTGAAATGAATGAAATTGTGAAGATCACAAGCAACCCAGTCAGGCCAGTAGAATATTTGCATTCTTTTCAGCTGCTTTCAGAACCAAACCAAATTCCTAAAACCCTGAGATCATTCCCACCTCCTCGAGTGACCCATTTTTTTATGTGATTCTAATTCCCTGTCAGCCACAGGTCAGGTCCTTTCTCTCTCAGGAACTACTACTACAAGTTACTCTGTGCCTTGTATGTGCATCACCTGCCTCAGCTACATACTTTGTGTTTCAGGTCACTAATTTGTTAAATGAGAAACAGTGGCTTCCATCCTGGAAGTAAACTAAAATGTTAAATGATGAATTTAAACAGGTTTTAAATTGCAAGTTAAATGAATAGGCAAAGTTACAAAAGAGACAATCAAATAAAATCATTCCATAATTATGTTTGCATCATTCAAAGTGCCTGTAGGGTTGACAAAGATTTTCCCATGCTCTCAAAAAACAGGCAGCCCAGTAAAGGAGAAAGTGAGAACAAGCTTCTTATGAGAAAGACTCACTAATTTCTAATAACAGACAAATTTGAGAGGCATATGAGTGTTAACCCAGGATTTTCTCTTTTACAACACTTATGGTTACTGTCTTTTAATTAAACTTACTAGTTCAAAGGTACAACATTGCTCTTTACATATCTACCCCTAATTTTACTTTTGGAATTTATTTCCAGTTTGTATAATTATATGTAAAAACCCATTCTGGTTTCACCAATGCCATACAAAAGAAGAGAGCGAATCAACATTTCCAGAGTCAAATGATCCTTTATTGGAGAGCTAATAACCTTTTTCCATCTTCTCTCTCTGAGGTTTGTTTATTAGTGCTCTGTCTAAAGAATCCCAGGATTTCTCCTCAAAATAGTACTTCTAACCTCTTTCTACAAATGGAACCTAACATTTTTTTTCCCACAGAACAGGAGCAAAATGCTTGCAGTAAGACAAGATCAGCTTTTCACAAAAAGCTTCCACACAAATATGAACTAGCTGGGGATAATTTATAAACCACTGGGAACACTATGTTATTTAGACAGCTAGTTTGATTATTTCTGTATTCAAGTTTAATTCCACCCTTATTAAAATGGCCATTTTTTTCTATACTCTCATTATTGAATGGAGATAATTTGGCACAGATTTCACATCAGATTGCAGCAATATCCATCTTGAAGGCTGTGCCCAGCCTGCATCTGCTCAGCTGAGTGCTGGCACGTTGATTCTCAGTTCTCAGCACATGACATTCTCCAAGCTATAGCTGATTTGGGTGGCTGATGGCCATGGAGGCTGTTGCCAAGCCACTGCACTGTGGCCACCATTGCTGGCCAGCATGAACTTGTTTTTGGCCCCTCTGTGCTGTACATGAGCATGAAAACAAGCCAGCCCAGGGAGATCCCAGAGTCTGAGTGCAAAGCACCACCAAGCCTGCACTGGTCTGTCACTATTCCAGCCACCAGAGCTATTTAAATACAAGCAGGTGACTGCTTTGCTCTGCCCAAAGCTGTGACCCAGCTGTGACACAAGTGTAGCTTGGCAGATGTGGTGGATCTGCTCTCTGGCACAGGGCAGCTCTCCATGTGCGAGCCTCTGGCTGCACACCAAGCAGGTGTGAGATGTGAAGGGGATGGAAAAACAAGTCATGCTGCCTACAAAAATAACTGCAGTTCAGCACAATTAGTGCAGGCTCGGGGTGACCTCCACATGGCAATGCAATGGTTTTAAGGCAGTGGCAGCAGGTCTATGGGCTGTGATTCACAGACACGTGCAGGGCGCCATGTCACGGTAGCCCTGGGAACGGTGGAACCAGACCCAGAGGAATGGGTTGTTCTACATCATCAGTTGGCAAGGACAGATGCTGCAAAGCAGATGTAACTTTAGAGCTCTCTTGTGTTCATTTCCTCCAGATTACAGTGACACATAAAGATAAGGTTTGGTTTCAAGGGAGCTGTGTCTGGCTGGACCTGTACCAGCTGTCTGATGCGCTTACTTAAGAGTAATGCGGTCTAGATTCATTTCTCATAGACTCATTTCCCATTGCTGTTTTATGTGCATACCAGTGAGATCCTGTGCAGAATCACCAAGAAAGGACACTGAGAATACCAAAACCAGAGTGCAAAAGGTACAATGAAAGCAGTTCTTTGCCTGTGTTGTCCCCAAACAAAAAGCCAGTGCTGATTAATAGATGTTTGACAAACAGACAAAACATAAAAGACCATTTGCAAGACAAATAATTCTGAGCCTTCTTCCTGGATGAGGTATGGATTTCTCACTGCCTATACAGAGCAGGAGTTACTTGTACTCCTTGGTTTCACACATCAAGCACATTTGTGACAAGGAGGTGATGGTAGAAGGAGTGGGACAAGTCAAAATGGTCACCTAGTTCCATGCTCTAGAAATCAGGCTGGGTGTCTTCAGTGAGGTGTGCAGAATGGTGCTCTTTCACAGGGTCAGACTGGAAGAGTAAGTTGTCCAGGCTGGTATTCAGCCCACACATCCTCAGGAGTGGGGATTTATACACAGACTGTCAGATTTTAGCTTTGAGAGCCAGAGGTGATTTGGCTACAGATATAACCTTGGCTGGGAGAGCTATGCAAGGCAGTGGAAACAGGTCAAGTGATAACATCAAGAGAAATTCTCTCCTGGCTTGTCTCCTGTACTACTCTGTTCAGAATCACAGCACGCCTAACTGGATCTTTCCAGCCCAGAGCAATAAACCAAATTTATAATGTTCTTAATTGCTTTTTCTTTTCTTCTTCCCCAGCTGGCAGATGGACCTGTACCATATCAGCATTGCTTTGTGTTGTGCTTTCAAGAATGATAATAGAACCAACAAAATTATTTTATTTTCTGCTCTGTGCACACTGCAGAGAAATTTCAGTAAGCGGCACTTGGTCTTTATTTATTTTCATTTTAAGCTCTTGCTGAGATCAAAAATTATTTCTGCTGTGTTTAGTTTGCTTTTATTATATAGTGTTCCAAACATTCTGTTTAAATTCTCACAAAGGATGCTTTTTGGAAACAAGCCAGGCTTTCTGAATCTTTGGTAGGGATGTTTTGAGACAGAAAACAGGAAATCATGCTTGTATAGTCTCCGGACACACAGGGATAAAAGATGACTCCTATGACTAAACATGCATCAACCAAGAAATCCATCTTGGGCTGGATATAGTGAAGATTTTAGTTACAAATGCCTGCCTTTACAGGTAACCTAAGGACTCAACTCAAAGCAGAGACACCCTCAAACATAACCTCACATTCAGTAAAACAATTCACAATTATAACATCCACAGTATCAGCACAACTCTTTTCTGCCTTCTCACTGTTTCACTGGGATGTAGAAAACCATTTCACAGTCTTATTTTTGCCTAACATATGGAATGAACCTGCCATCATTTTGGGGTGTACATCTATACACACACACACATCATTGTACTGGCCCTCTGAAATGGATGTCTGACCAAGAAATGTGAGGTACATTCAAATTCAAGTTTAGAAACTTTCACTTAAGAGGTGGTTCAGGGGACCTGATAAGTATTGAAGATAAAGAGGGGTGCTATTGACTCCAAGAGATTTTGGATTTCGGCGTGAGTTATTTTGAACTGACTCTGCTCTCTGAGTCCACCTCCAGAGAAGTCAGAATGAGTAGTCCCTTCTGATAAAGTTCATTAGCCATTAATTTTTATTTAATGTTTTATATAAAAAAGTTTTTTTTTCCTGAGGTAATTTTGGTATTGTGTAGTTGTGTTCTTCTTAAACTTAATGCTGTAGAAGACAAAAATAATTTTCTCCTTTATAACTCTTACAGTTTAAGGCTGCATATAGAAAAGCAATGCACAAATACTAGAAAAGTTTGGCTTCTCCTTGTACATGAAGACTCAATAAAACTGCTATTTTCACAAGGATGACTATGATTGTAGCATTTTCTTTTCCACTGAGCAGTCTGTTGAGGAAGCAGCCACAGCAGACAGCACAGAGTGCTATTCTGCACCACAAACAAGGCTGCGAGAGACCAAGAAATTAGTTCAACTACTGTTTGTGCCAAACAACATTAATTTAAATAGTCTTTTAGTGTGGAAAAAAACAACAAAAAAACAGGCTGGAACAATTTCAGTCTTTGAGCAATACAACTGACTATTTCAGAGCTTATGCAGCTGTGTTTGAGCCAGCTGGGAGAACCTAAGGCTGTGGTTTTCAGTGCTATCCCAAGGAAGAGCAGGGAGTTACCTCCTACCCAGGTGTGAAATGGCAGTGAACCACCCATGGAGACCTCAGTGGATCAGAAAATAACCCCATGGGGAACTCCTCCCTCTCAAAGACAGCTTGAAATCACCAGCCTTTAGGGTCATCAGCTTTTTACAAGTTCTGGGTTTTTGAATTGTGAATGCAGACCTCTGCTTAGTACATATAGTTAATTGTGTAAATGCCAATGCTTTGGTATGGCTCCATTCTCAATCAGGCAAACATCAAGTGTCTGTAAGGGTCAGATGAGCCAGAGTTCAATTTGAACCATAGGAGATGGAAGCATCACATTCAAAGCTCACACACAGATCTGCTATTACATAATGCCAGGTTATTTCATGGGGGAGTGGATTTTTTTTTAAAAAAATATCCACCACTTCCTTACCCAAAATATGTATTTCTTTATCTGCATTTCTCTAACATAATTTTTGGGCACCACTCAATCTCTCTGTGAGTGATTTTTCCCAAATTCAAGTAAATGTAAACAGAAATTACCCTGTGGAATCACAGAGACCTGTTCTTTCTTCTCTGTTGAGCAGTTCTGGAGCCTATTGGTTTAACTTCAATGCAAAGACAGAGAGATACAGCAAAAAACCCCAAGAAATCAAAAAACCCCACAAACAAACTAACTAACTAACCCAACAAACAAACAAAGAAAGAGACAAAAAACCCAAAAAATATCCAACCAAAAAAAAATTCTATTCTGTTTTGGTTTATTTTTGTCTGGTGCTGTTTCACTGCTTACCTTAGTTGGGAACAAGGCTACGAGGATTAAATGAAAGAATAAAAGAGCAGCTGTAGGGGTCTGCAGTTGCTCAGAGACTGACACCCTGAAGGCAGGACTAGCAGAGTGTCCTGGGTCCTCATTACCACTTTGCACAAAATGGCAAGGGCTGCACCCTGTAGCAGCCTTTTTAGTCCCCCTGGTACATCTGGAGCTCACAAACGTCCCCTCCTTTTGCAGTGGTGAGGAGAAACTCAGGCTATTTCGAACTTACATTTTTTCATGCACTTTTCAGTTCACAGGTCTGGTCCCAAACAGATACAGAACAAGGTCTTTATCAGATCAAATTTTTTGTCAGCAGAAGAGTCTGGGAGTCGCTCCTTCCACTGCCAAGTTTGGAAGCGTCCCAGGGACAGAGCATTTGAAAGTACAGTTAGCAATGGGCATGGCAGCACTGTAACAGGCCTAGAATTCCTCAGGGATGGGATCAGAGGGTGGGGATTTCGATAAAGAGAGGAAAATAAAGCAATCTAGTGAGTCTCACAAAATTACAGCATTTAACTGTCAAATGCAAATCTTGCAGTTAAAGAAAATACTACAGAAAGAGATTTTATGTGTACTGATCCTAGCACTGTCATTTCATCACTGAAATATGTCTTGCACAGTTTTCTTGGCATCTTGTCTTAGGTTTATCTCAAATCACATTATTCTTGTGCTAATAAAGTTAAGTGTTTTCCACTCCACTCCAGAACAGTAAATATGGATTTAAATCCACCTGTCTCTCATTTTGCAGAATTATTGCTCAAATTCTATTACATTAAATGGGAGGTGAGGTTCATTTGGTATGATACATAAACAAATCAAAACTAAATCTTCCAGCATCCAAATCTTTTTACCTAGGCATATATACATTTGACTATTATTATTATTATTATTATTTTTAAATAGTGGTAATTCCTACCATATTTATCTGTATCAAATTATCCCAGTGATTTCCAAAATTCCCAAGCAAAGTGCTCAGTCTCCTCTACAATGCACAGCACTGCCAGCCTCCACAAGGACTGGCAGACACACAGGTACCTCCTGCTCTTTGGGGCATTTGTCTCACACAGCCCTTCACAGGAAGAAAAATCTAAGTTCTTCTGGTTGACTCTTCTGTGAAAGCTCCACTGCAGCAGGCAAAGTCATATCAAGGGTGAATTTTCTGCTCCTTGTTACCTAAACATCCATAGTGACTTTGAATATTCATATTTGCTGGTAGGATGTGCAGAGCACATGGGGTAGTACCCACCTCTTATTGATTCATTCTCAGCTACCCCAAAAATGAGACACTTGAAGCCAGCTGTTAACTAAGGCCCTTATTTTAAACATATTTTCAGGAAAGGCAGTTAACAATTCACTTCCAGTGTAATGAGCACCGGATTCATTAAATAAACACTAGGTTACATAAATCCGTATTTATGACTCTCTGCAGCAAACAGAAATCCAAGGGAGAAGGTAAATACACACCACAGAAGGAGTTCTGGCTCCATACTTGTTCTCATGGTACAAGTGTGAGGAAAAAAACCCCCATGAGCTATTAATGTGACTGTTGTATTGATGTAGACAGGGTGGGGCAAATGTCATAACATCTATTGTAAAGCACTCTACATTAATTGACAAACAAGATGATTTATTTCTCCACTATAGTCAAAGGATTATAATTTTTAAAAAAAAATTGAAAGTGACAAAACTATTACCAAAAATTTCTTGAAGACATTTTCTTCCTTGGCTCCACATTCTGTCTCCCTCCCAGGAGGATTCAAGATTTATAAAATCCTTGGCAAAAGGGCATTTTTTTTGTCACTCTCTCCATTTGGAGGTGATTATTTGGAGCAACATAATTAGAGGTTTGGCATACAAAGAGCAGTACTGCGCTATTGAAAATGTAAACCAGGAGATTTGAGGAGGACTGTTTGCTGAAAGTGTGTTGGGCTCAATTCAGCTATTGAAAAAGTTTCAAAATGGACTCTTTCTCTCTTTCATCTGAAACAGGAGGGAAAAGAACCACCATGATGTTATGTTCAAAGAGCCCCAAACTAGAAACACACAAATAAGAATCAAAACAAAATGAAACTTGACTAAATAAATGGCTTATGATCAAACCTTAAAGATTAGCTTGCCTCACAGAAGGCTATAGCAAAAATTGACAAGTAAGCTAGAAGCAAATCTGTTACTTCTAATCTGCTCATTACATCTATAAACAATATGCTACACAAAACATACCTGGAGGAGTTGCCTCTTTCAATCCTGTCTTGTTTGTTTGGTTCCACTTGTGCTGTTGAACATGAAATGTAATTCTCTGGAGAAAAGACTAAAAGCTCATTTTTTTTACTATGTAAATGTCTTGTTTCACAAACAGAGCCAGGCACAGCTCCTGGGCTCTCCTGTATTGCAAATGGAATATGAGTTCCCACAGAAACATCCAGAAATGTTCTCCTGTTCCCTAAAAATGTGCATTGAGTTTATGATTTCCTAATCAAAACCCAGCAAGGTCTGCAAATTGGGGCAAACTGAGATTCCTCTCCTTCCCTTCAACTATTTCAGAAGTCCTAAATCCAGGGGGAGGGGAGGGGAAGGGAAGGGAAGGGAAGGGAAGGGAAGGGAAGGGAAGGGATCAGGATTTTCCTTCTATATATTCTGTAAAGTCTACTTTAAAGTAATCTGAAAGAGAACGAGTTCTTTCTATTTTATTAAAAAAATATATCAAAGCAATAATGAGCAGTTTGATCTCAGTGTGAGAGAACATTTTACCTTTTATTTTATGTTAAATCATCCCTTTCAGTTAATAACAATCTTACTTTCAAAGCAAGAAAACAGAAATTCTCTGTGTGACCATTCAGTATAAAAGCAAAGTTTGTTTTTATTTCTGCAGGGACAATAAATTAGAACCTTTCATCAATTACCATTTATCTCCTCTTTTTTATGAGGATGCAAGTAAGTAATTATCAGTGAAGTTCAATGATAAAACCACTGCATAAATTTGCAGCAGAAACTAATCCTGACTAATTAATCTGACAAAATGTATGGTTTAAAATAATTGTCAGTGCCAGCAGTTCTTTCTCAATAATGTGCTTTTATGTTAGAATTTAATCTTTCCTTCATGCTTTTTATTTGAAATTGCACCCAAGAGCCAATTTTACCTGGAAATTTCATGATGTTTTGTAAATACTCTCTTGGGTACAAAGAGACAAAAGTTAATACTCTATTGCTATAGATGAAGGCTTTAGGAGACTAGTGAACCAATGCAAAAAAACTTTAGGGAATCTGGTGAAGATATTTCAGGGAAAATTTTGGGGATGCAGTGGACAGAACAGAATCACTTTAAGTCTCTGTCACAGCTGCCAGGGAGTACAGACATCCAGGAAGGGTTAACTAAATAGGTTCCAGTACTCTGCAGTAAAAAAGACATAGTGGACATTCTTAATCCTTTTTTTTTTTTTTTTCCTGAATGACAATAAACTTATATTTTCCTTGTTATAGATTTGTAACAAATAAATATTTGGGTTTGCAAAAAAAGAAATTAAATTTTGGTTGCAACATAGAATTATTTATTTTAATATATTTCTCTTCCCTAAACTTGACCTAAAATACTCAGGAGAATCTCAGGATCCTTGCAGCACTGTTTCTCTCTGGATGACAAGAATGGAAAAGAATGCAGTTTAGGGACCCAATCCTGCAAATTGCAGGCTGTGTGTAACTTCTTTAGCTTTCATGGGCAATATCAATTCCAGTACCTGCTTGTACAAAATTCAGAAGCTAACAAAGTACAGATAGTTCCCA